GGTTGAGCTATAGGCGCCGAGCCGAGAAGACAACTTCTTAAAGAAGTTAGGAAGAAAAGAAGAAGTTTTCCTTTAAGAAGGCCACTTACCAAATTTAAGAAGGCAATTTATAGACGTAATGCAGTACCAAGTGTTTTCACAAACAATAATTTCATAAAACTAGTAGGCATATCTCTTGTTAATTACAATTCTTCTTCTTATATAACAGATTTCCGTTAAATATCCTTAGTTGTGTGATTGTCTTTTGTGGATGAAGGGTATCCTACATAAACACCTCTGTGCAGATAAGGAAACAGGTCTGTGGAGGTAAACTGACTCCAGTAGGTTGCCCTGAAAGCAATGTAGGATCAGAACCCAAGGCTCCCCTCCAAGTATGTATTTCTTGTTGTTAGGCACTGTTGCCATATGTGACCTGGATACTTCAGAGCTGCTTTTCATACCTTCAGGTGCCTCGAAAGCTTTTTCACAAGTAAGTGGCACTGTGAATTTTGAGAAAGCATGTTAGTATAGTAGAACCATTACTGACTTTTCCAGAACTCTGGAGACCTGAGTGTAACTGCAAATTCATTGCTATGTGGTTAATTGGCTGGTAGCTCCAAGATTAACTGGACCCTCTTCTGTAGGTCATTTCCCCTCTGTGAGTTCTGTAATGTCTCTTCCAAGCGCTAATGTGCCTTTGGCCAAAGCCAAGCTGCAGCCCATGTGATCTGGTAGATGGGGTATTGGTATAACTGGCTTGATTATCCAGTCATTCCGTATACCAGCACTTCACAGATAAAATTACTTAGCTCCCTTGTGGTCCCTCATAACTGCACTTAACCTGTTTTTCCCCTGAAAAGTGAACTTGAGGGCAGCAACCTTGTCTAGTCATTGTAATCTTCTCAGTAGCTATTACAGAGTAAGCACTCACTAAATCTGTGTTGAATGAGTGAACATCTGTTTTGGAGATCTGCCATTGCTTTAGGCTTTCTTTATTTGCATTTTTTTAGTAAAGGAAAATGAAAATATTTAAAAACAATGTTTGAATATTTGTTATGTTAGCCACATATCTACATAGTCTTCATTTAATGGTAGGATTTTTTTTAAGTTACGAACACCTTCATTTCTCCGTGACCCTCGCCCTTGTTTTGTTAATTGCGTGTAATAGAGATTCTGCATGGTATAAAACCTCTTTAACTCCTTCAATATAATGGAACATCAGTTCTTCAGAATCAGGGAAGATCTTCAAAACCAGTCCCATTTGTGAACTTAATTTAAGGGCTTACTATAATGATGATATACTTTATTCCTCTAGTTATAATCGCTGGTTATGTCAAGCACGATCCGAGGATCTGTCCGATATTGCTTCTCTAAAAGCCTTATACCAAACAGGTAAGCTTAAGGATATGTCAACTTATTCTTTTACTAGTTACTGACCCTACCCAGCATGGTATTTGAGATTTTATATTTTTTCTGGTGTCATTCATTCTATTTATGAATAAAATGTCTTTGTATTAATGCTAATAGTTTTTGTCCATCATCTAGATCTTAAAAAAATTCAATCTATAAAATTTTTAACTTACAGTTCTACATTGGCCTTTTTTTTAAGTTTGCCTTTAAAAGTATCATATATTTGCTTCTACAAAATTCAAACCTTACATGAATATATAGTAGAAAGGAAACAACGAAAATTCCAAGATTCCTACTCTTTCTCTATTCCATTTCTTTTTTCAGATAGTACTTTTTTGTATTTTTCAGTAATTTTCAAATTTGAGTGTTACATACTTTTTTCCTGGATCACTCATCTTATTAAAAGTGTTAGTAACCTTAAACAAAAAGCTGTTTATAAAAAGATCTTTGGCTGTCCCTGATTTACCTTTGGCTGTTCCTGATTTAAAATCTCAAAAGTCGGGGTGAAGAGCAAAACTTTACGATACTTTTTCAAAAGTGTTGTTTTCTATGCAGTTAAAAGTAAAAGTCCGATGGAGAAATTTTAGAAACTTAGACTTCCTGGTTCTTAGTCTTTTAAGTTTGTGTAGAATTTTTTTTTTTTAACTGAACCATACAAGATACAAAACTGGGTAAAGTATTTTTATAAAGTCAGAGCCAGGCCAAGTAATACTCTTGAAACAAAGTTCTTGGGTGCTGATTATATTTCCTATTTGTAGGTGTTGATAACTGTGGTCGAACAGTGATGGTGGTAGTTGGAAGAAACATTCCTGTAACATTAATAGATATGGACAAGGTAAGTTGTTTTACGAATAATGTTGATTTTAAAGCTAAGTAGAATATGAATTTGCAATCAGGGCTTACAATATGGGAATCGTCAGAATTGAGTATCTCTGGCAGAGTAGCAGTCTGGTTCTGTGAAGCAGCTTGTGTCATTTAAGTTGAGTTAGGGGTTTGGTTTTTCTCTCTAAGGGAAACAAAAATACTGGAATGTTGTATTATGATCTCCAAAAACACAGCTGCTTGTTTTGGATATGATGTAACTGGCAAACGTGCTGTTGAAATCATTCTCTATTATTATTATACAATCATTCTTTTTTGAAAAAACAAAAATTAATGCTTGAGTATCTATCAGACGAGAAGAAACCAGAGGTGTAATTTACCCAAGATAGCATAATCCCATAATCCCTTCGTGTGGAGGCAAAGAACAGAAATACATGATTCCTAACCTAAAAGAAAGAAAAATTATATTGGTAAATAAAAATAAGAAAGTGTTCAATCTGATGAGTATTCGAGAAGTCAGTTAAAATGAGATCTTTTTTCACGTCCAAACTTAGCCTGAACTTCTAAATAATAATCACTGTCATCAAACATGAATTGTAACTATAAAAGTTATCACAACCATTGACTTGATAATTTCATTCGTGATAATTTATAGTATGGAAATAATCCAAAATTTAGAAGTAGCTATGGGCCCTGAAACTGTGGGATACTCATGCCAGGGGCCATTGAATCCATAAGATAAATATATAACTCTTCCTAGAACATTAGTTTTATAAGAAACTGACTCCAAAGAATAACTTTAACTGATCATTATTAGCCATGGTAAAAAATATACTTAAAAATCCAAAATTACATAAAATTTTAAGATCAAACGGTTGTGCAAAAGTTGAAAATAGCTTCCAACTAAGCTTTCAAAGTCTTAGTCACTGAAATTTGGGTTAAAAAAAAATGGCGAAAGCACTAAGCCTGGCATGTCACTCACAGGGTGATTTGTAGCAAAAAGTTGTAACTTAACTGGTATGAGGCGCAGTGGCTCACCTGTTATCCTAGCATTCTGGGAAGCCAAGGCAGGTGGATTGCCTGAGTTCATAAGTTCAAGACCAGCCTGAGCAAGTGCAAGACTTTGTCTCTAAAAATAGCTGGGCGTGGCGGCAGATGCCTGTAGAATCACTTGAGCCCAAGAGTTTGAGGTTGCTGTGAGCTGTGACACTACGGCACCCTACAAAGGTGGACAAAGTGAGACTCTATCTTAAAAAAAAAGTTGTAACTTAAATTTCTACTGGATAATTATGGTATATTAACAAATGGAATGTTCTGAGACCCTTAAAAATTATGGTTAGAGAGGAAAGTACTCTAAAGAATTGTTTACACTACTTTCCTCTGTAGAGAGAAAGGGATACATGTGTCTACATTGACTGTAATTTTGTTGTTGTTGTTATTTGTTTTTAAACACAAAAATGAGATAAATATTTTAAAATGAATTTCATAGTTTTGGAGGGAATTTGTCTTCCACATTTTTCAATCATGTGACTATACCTTTTTATAATGAAAATATTTAAGATGGGGAATTTGAAGCCCAAAAGGAGTATGCTAATTACCCTCAGGTGGGTGTAGGGAGTGGACAGAAAGATAGGTAAAAAGCAATCTGGTAAAAGAAGAAATAACAATAATAAATAATTATAAAAATATACATAGGGAACAGAAAAACTCAACTGAATGAATTATACCATTCATAAGTTTTTATTTATGATCATTCATATCATCAATAATGTGATTGATACCAATAAAAACAAATACCTGCATTTGATTTTGGTATGCTCTTACATGGGGTTTGATGTTGAATATTATATTATATTGAATATTATATGAATATTTGTGATATTTCATATGAAATATTGAGCTAGGTAACAACTGAATAGATCTAGTGTCTGTTCTGGTAGCAGCTGGCTCCTAATCCATGTTAATCCTGTCTTGTTAATGCCAAGGACTTGCCTGAGGAGGAATTGGAAAACAGCCTGTGTTATAGTAATGCTTCAGTTGTTACCTCGCAGCTTCCTCTTTGTAATTGTTTATAGCTAAACCACTGGGTCATACTGGCCCTGCCCATGTTGTATGTCTATTTTGTTTTTAGTCTTTCTCTTAGATTCCACCCATTTTCTAACCAGTCCGGGTCATGTCAAATACAAGACTTTCAGAGAGCTAGAAATATTGCTGTAGACTAAACATCTGTTCTCAGTGTCCCATTCAGGTCAGCACTAAAGATGTAAGAAAGCCCTCATAGTGAGCCCTGTAATGGACCATTCATTATATCCTTTTATAGTAATCCTTGTTTACACGAAAGCCATGAGTCTCTATCTCGAATAGAGACTGCAAACACTTTGGTCAAATTCAAGCAGGAACTTCAAGAATGATTAAGTCCAGAAAGTCTCCTTTTAATGTTTTTTATATCATTATCCTAGAGAGGGAAAACAGAGGACAGAGACTGATTGTTCTCCTCTGTCACTTAGAGCAAGACAAAAAGGGAATTGTACTGTGGCATTCATGAGAATTATTAAATGCTGCAATGATTCACTTTCCTGAAGATCTTTTTAAAGAGAATTGATACTTATCAGTCTGACATGTCCATCTGTAGTGACTGGGACATAGATCAGATTACGCTTCTGGGTTTTTCCTTCTCTTGGCCTCTATAAAATAGACTATTGTGCAAAATGATCTTTACTCCTTTTTTTTTAGGCTCTTTTGTATTTTATCCACGTCATGGATCACATTGCTGTGAAGGAATACGTCTTAGTATATTTTCACACACTGACCAGCGAGTACAATCACCTGGACTCTGACTTCCTGAAGAAACTCTACGATGTCGTTGATGTCAAGTTAGTTATTTTTGCAAATTATAAAGGGGAAATAATGTTTTTCTTTATTTTAATACTGAGTAATGAGAACCATTGTTATGTATTTTGTGAAAGAATATTTCAAATAAACAATATTTTTATCAGATGTAGATTAGATATTTTAATCATAAGAGGCCCTCCTTATTTCATATTCACTTTGCAGTTATGTAAATTCATATGAAAACTTTCTCCCATTTTTAAACACCCTGGAAAATGTTTGTTGTCATTAGTAATTATTTTATACAAAAATAACTACCTTCTGTTTATATGGTATTTGTTAGAAGAGATATCTACACTTGAGAGACAGGAGAATATTGACATTCTGAAGATGAAGTATGTTGTTCAGAGTCTCACGACAGTAAATGTGGAATTTGCACTTGACCCCAGGCTAGAATTGGAGCTAGAAAATTATTTTCATTAAACTATATTTTCCTTGAAGTGATAATGGAAATTTTAACCAGAAAACATATGACACTTCACTACAGCAAAGATCAAATGTAACGCTTTAAATATTTTCTCATGAATATATTTCCTAAATAAAAAAAGGCTCTCTACCCCGGTATTAGCTGTCTTGTTATTTGTGGCATCACAATGTGGCTCACATTGAAAAGCCCATTTTACATTTAGGGTATAAAGAAAGAAAATCACCGTACATTTCTTAACACCTCCCATTAAAGCTCATCTTAATTCGGACTATTAAATAAAGCTTTCACTACCCAAGAGACACCGTTTTTACCTTGCTCTGAATATGGGTTATACCTGTATTTGCAGGGTAGCTTCACTCCACTGTAGTTCCGCTTCCCACTAACCAGTTTTCATACTTGGTAGAGGCCCAGCTGAGAGGCCATCTCAGCTGTGAGATGAAGTGTTTGCACTATTTCTCTGAAGTCCTTTCCAATTAACCTCATGCGACCTAATTGTGATTATTGGACTCTTAAAAAAAGAATCTCAGGCTCACCTAACAGGGCTAGATAGAGTAGTGGATAAGAATATGTTTTGGAGCCATGTTGCCCAGGTTTAATTTCTGTTTCTACCTCTTGATAGCTGAATGATTTTGTGAGGGTCAAAATAAACGTAGTGATAGTATGCAGCTTAAAATTGTTATGAGAATTTAAGTAGAAAGCCTTTGTACAATTTCTGGCACATGCTAAATTTATTTATTTGTTGAACTCTGACAATAGAAACCTTTAGTTTCTAATTTTTGCTATAATTATAAATGGTTTTACTGTTTAATTCATACATCTGATTCAAGAGATTCTAGCACTATAATAATGATACACCGTAAATTTGTTTGTTAAACGTAAATTTAGTCAACTTTGTTATACATATAGATGGCTCTATCACAGCCAACAGGAGCACTTAGTATCTCCTATAAAACAATTACTTTAAATAATGAAGTAGTCTCTGGATTATTTTTGAAATGTCTAAGATTCAATATGTAAATTAGAGCTGCTTTTAAAAAGGTTTTATTCCTCTGTGAATACATTTGTATACTCAAGCAGAGAGTTAATTATCTATAATGATGACTGGCTTTAGGCAAGACTTACACTGACCCTTTTTGTTTGTTTCTGAATCAGGTATAAAAGGAATTTGAAGGCTGTTTATTTTGTTCATCCAACATTTCGTTCAAAGGTACAGTATTTTTCCCTTTTGGCTAAATCTTGAATTTAAGTATGCTGCATATCCAGAATATTAAGAAATCTATCAGCATCTTAATTGCTGCTCTCACCATTATGACTGCTCATTTCTGTTGTTTGCTCTTCCTTTTTAAGTAACCCCAAGTGGTGGTCCTGGTGATCTGGCCATGTGTTGGCCCTGCGGTCCTTGCTGCCTGTGTGCTCCTTCGTCTGGGCCTCACTCCCAGCGCTAGTGCAGAGTGCTCTTTCCCCCTCTGCTCGTGGCTGACTCCTGCTTGTCAGATCTGAACTCAAGAGTTACTGTCTGTAGACAGCCCCCTCCGACCATTCACCCAGCCAGTAGATACTTCTTCATTGTACCCCTTAAGAGTCTGTTCATGGGTCTACAATCATTTTTTTCCTGCCACACTTTGAAAGAAGAAGAGTTGTCCTGGGCCACATGCTAAAACACAAATGCTGGCCAGGCATGGTGGCTCACACCTGTAATCCTACCACTCTGGGAGGCTGAGGTGGATGGATTGCTTGAGCCTAGGAGTTCCAGACCAGCCTGAGCAAGAGTGAGACCCCATCTCTAGCAAAATAATAGAAAACCTACCTGAGGGATATTGTGGCAGGTGCCTGTAGTTCCAGCTACTTTGGAGGCTGAGGCAAGGGGATTGCTTGAGGCCAAGAGTTTGAGGTTGCTGTGAGCTGTGATGTGATGGCACTCTACCCAGGGTGACAGAGATTCTGTTTAAAAAAAAAAAGAAAACACAAACACTAGCTAAAGTTTATGTGCAAAAAATGGTCCTTGTATAATTTTTATGATGTCAGACATCACAGATAAGCAAAATAGCATCAAATAATCTGCATTCAGCCCACAGGCAGCAGGTTTGACACCCAAATTAAACACAGCTAGAAACATAACAGTTATTGTTTTCTAATTGTGTGTATTTTTTTTGCCTCATATGTTAGCCTATAAGACCCATGAGGGGTAGAATATAGGTCATTCACAATTAGATCCGTAGTGCCTAGTCCTACATTTTGATTGCGTTTTGTGACAGTGTCATCTTTCTTGCCTTTATTTTCTTCCCTATCCATCTCCAAACCCACATTCCATTACATCAGCCACTGTTGTCAAGCTACTCTTTCACCACCCTTGCCTATCAAAACCTAAACTTAGAATAAGCCATCATTCTGTTTTCTTCATTCCTATAACTGAGCTGCTAATCACTGATGGAGAGATAATACAGCCACAAGAATTTGGAGTCTTCAGCAGATTCATGGGGCTTTCATTGTACAAGGTCCTTTGATGTTTCACTGGATGGTGTCCTAGCATGCCTTGCCACCCTCCACGAGCCCCGTCCTGTCAGCTCCTCCGCACTCTAACGGAGGGTCCTGCCTTATTCTTATCCAAACACACAGAAGCCATTGGTGAAGAGCTCTCTGTCTTTTCTCCTCTAGTCCCAAATCTACCTGCTATCTATGATTGCCTCTTTTTTTCTTTATTACAAAGAATGTATTTCTTTTTGATGAACGGCAGTCCCTCTACTCTGGATTCCATAGTAATAATATTAGCTAATGTTTTTTGAGCGTTCGCTATATGCCAGTTCTTCTGCACATTATCGTTTTTAAGCCTCACAGTATACAGTGAAGTAGATAGGGGTGTTGTTTCCATTTTACACATAGACATTGATGCTGAGAGATATAAAGCAACTTTCCCAAGGTAACCAACAGAAAGTAGCAAAGGCTGGACTTGAATCTGGGCCTTGTAAACCCAGAGCCTAACTCGTAGCTACAGAGTGTATTTTCATTTCCTCAGGAACCTCTCGTTAGGAGTTGGCATTTTTCTCCTCCCTTACTTTTCTGCTCAAAATATTCCACCTTTAAACATCCTAAAGCATCCACTTTTTTCCCCTCCCAAAATTGTTTAGTGTAATCTATATTCTGTGCTCATCTCTCCATTTCTCATACGTTACAGTTACTCCAGTGTGGTTTTGATCCTGCTGTGCCAACTGAAGCTGTTCGTGTTGTGATAACCAATGATCTCGTTAGTAAATCTGACACACACTTTTCTCTCTTTCTGTTACCTGCTTTCCTTACATCCTTAACACAGGCGATCACTTCTTCCTTGACATACTTTGTCTTCCCTTCTTTGACATTCACCTTGCCTGATTATTGGTGCTAACTGTTCATCCTCAGTCTCCTGTGTGGGCCCCTGACTGACTGCTCAGCTGTGGGGTGTTAGTGTCGCTGCCTCATCCTCAGTCCCCTGTGTGGGTCCCTCACTCTCTGCTCAGCTGTGGGGTGTTAGTGTCCCTGCCTCATCCTCAGTCCCCTGTGTGGGTCCCTCACTCTCTGCTCAGCTGTGGGGTGTTAGTGTCCCTGTCTCACCCTCAGTCCCCTGTGTGGGTCCCTCACTCTCTGCTCAGCTGTGTGGTGTTAGTGTCCCTGTCTCACCCTCAGTCCCCTGTGTGGGTCCCTCACTCTCTGCTGAGCCGTGGGGTGTTAGTGTCCCTCCCTCATCCTCCGTCCCCTGTGTGGGTCCCTCACTGTCTACTCAGCTGTGGGGTGTTAGTGTCCCTGCCTCATCCTCAGTCCCCTGTGTGGATCCCTCACTG